AGCCTGGAGCCTGCTTCGGATTCTGTGTCTCCCTCTCTCTCTGCCCCTCCCCGTCTCATACTCTGTCTCTCTCTCAAAAATAAAACAAACAACAAAAAGAGTTGTGACCACGTTGACATGGGCGAGATATCCCAGGTGGTTGTTACCCCTTACTTGGATCTGGGGAAGGACATCAGTGACCACAGGAAACAGGGGCTTCCAGGCTGCTTAGCCCTCTCTTCTCGGGGATTTTGATTCTTTCCTGGCTCCTTGTACAGAGATAGGTGGGCTCAGTGAGAAGCATTGGAGGCTGGGGTAAGGGGTAGGTGTGGGTCCAGGGCGTCTACATATATATGATGGTGGCGGTAATCGTAATAAGTATTATTAGTAACTAATAGTATTACTATTATATTTTTGCGGTTTTTATAAATTATATCTTTCAACCCTTGCAATGACCCTGCACTCTTATTATTCCCATTTTGCAGATCTGGAAGCTGAGGCTCAGGGAGGTACAGTGACTTACCCTTTGTCACACAGTGCGAAAGGCTTTTCAGAAGCTGATGTCCTTGCTCTCAGCCATTGGCTTATAATGTCTCTTTTAAAACATAAGATTATTGGGGCTCCTGGGTGGCTCAGTCAGTTAAGCGTCTGACTTCGGCTCAGGTCATGATCTCACAGTTTGCGAGTTCAAGCCCCGCATTAGGCTCTGTGCTAACGCTCAGAGCCTGCTGAGCCTGCTTCAGATTCTGTGTCTCCCTCTCTTTCTGCCCCTCCCTTGCTCGCACTGTCTTTCTCTGTCTTTCAAAAAAAAATGAATAAATGTTTAAAAAAATTTAAAAATATTAAATATAAGATTATGTTTTCTGAGGTTATTATTATTGAAATTGTATTGGTAGCAGATAGTATTCTCTTCAGTAAAAGAAAAGCTGTCACAATCTTTTCCAAGTTCTGCCTCAAGTTAAGTTCAAACTTGAGGTAGAACAGTTGTCAGAGGATTTACACATTCCTGCCAGATAAGGACAGGGTCTGGCCTCTACTCAAAAACAGTCTCATCATCCTGACAAACAAATGCCATTTTCTGCTCAAATCTTCTGTCAGATGAGAATGGAGTTTGGGGGCTGGGGGAGGGCACCTGGGTGGCTCAGCCAGTGAAGTGTCCAACTCTTGATTATCGGCTCAGGTCACGATCCCATGGTTTGTGGGATCGAGACCCACATTGGGCTCTGCACTGACAGCGGGGAGCCTGCTTGGGATTCTCTCTCTCCGTCTTTCTCTGCTCATCCTTCTCTCTCTCTCTCTCTCTCTCTCTCTCTTCTTCTCAAAACAAATAAATAAACTGGCAAAAAAAAATTAAAAAAAAGAGAATGGAACTCATGGGAAAGTTCCAACTTATGGAACGTTCTGGATAGGTAAGAATTAGCCTGTATCATCATTCACATATTCTTAGTGACTCCCTGAAGATTTCCCCCCTCCTTACAACTTTTTAAAATGAAGAGGTAAGCTTGTGAAACAGGTATTATCATTTATCATTTTACCATTTATCTTAAAACTATTTCTACATTTCTAAGAACTTCTACAGAGGACTTTGTGGAAATATTTAATGTTTTAATTTAATGTTTTCAAGTTGCAAGGGCTTTTATATTTTCCTGGCTACAACCTGCAGAGGTTATAGTAATCATGAAAAATCCGATTAATAACACTTGCTAGTTTTCTGTTACACAACATTGCCTTTTGCAATGACTTTCCCAAGTGTCCTGCCAAATCCATTAACTTGTGTCTATATGTCCCAGAATGCATAAAAACTTAATTTTCAGCTTTGTTTATTTATTACATTTAGTACCAATTTAGAAAATGTAAAACATCGTTCAGCAAGTGTGGATATGTTTGTTATTCATTAATTCATTCAACAAAAATATTTTGTGTACCTACAATGTAAAGGAATTTACTAGACACTAAAGGCACGTTAAGGTAATTACAGAGCCTAGGAGTCACCAAAGATGAATTTAAATTGCTTAAATTTTTCTTCCTGCGGTCAAATCTCTTGACGATATTTACACAAAGGAAGCCCATATGATATGGCTCTAAACTGGCTTTTCAAGCTCCAATGTTCATTACTCATAAGCAGAGACAGCTGAAGGGAACGAAAATATTCTTGAAGGGCAAACTTCTCTTCCCTGAAAGACCAGGCCAGGTCCTCCTGGCTAAAATTTCTAGCATAAAGTCATGGTTTAGTAACCTTAACATTCAGGACAAACACACACCTAGAAAGGTCTCTGAGTAGAAGGGGTTGGGGGCAGAGAAGGGAAGAGGGAAGAAGACGCTCCTGAAGATTCTGAGCTTCCAGAAGGGATTGAATTGCTTCCTCTCAGCTGCCCTTTCCTTTCCAGGTT